AAGTGTCCACTGATGGATGAACGGATAAAGAGGCTGTGATACAGTCACCACGAGAAAGAAGGCAGGCCTGCCATTTGTGACTCCGCGGCTGGGCCTTATGGACATCATGCTAACTGGAATAAGCCTGACAGAGGAAGATACTACTGCCTGGTATCGTTTATACGGAGACTTAAAAATGTTGAACTCCCAAAAACAGACAGAGGAGAGTGGGCACGGACAGTCGGTTGCTTTTGTCCACTGCCATCAAGAAGTTTCCCTTCGTGGCCCTTGATCCAGACTTAAAGTCCCAAGCAAAGCGTCCCATCAACTGAGCCTAGATCTTTCTGCTCCCTGACAGATCTGTGATCTGTCCCTGACCCCTGGGATCATCTTCCCTCCTCAGAAGTGACGCATCCTGCCCCTAATCAGGATCCTCAGCATGGGAACATTTTCCCTAAATGAGGAAGGTTTGTTGGATCTTGGGCTGCCCAAGCGATGAAAATGTCCCCTAAACTGATGGGAAGGTTTCAGAATCATTGCTCCAATGATTCCACAGAAGGAATAACCCTCTGTAGAATTTTTAAAATGTAAATAAGATCGATTCCTGGCCCTCTGAAATGGTTTAGATAACAGTTCCTCCATGAAGCAGAGATGGATTGAAATATAGTATGTTCCCGCACAGCTATCATCTCCTGAAATGCTAGAAATACCTTCGTGTCAGTGTCTTATCATAAGAAGCCCGAGAGCTGGAATCTAGAATTACAATTCTTTTTTTTTTTTTTCCTCCAGGATCTTGCTACAGAGAATTTGGTAAGGAGATGCATTTCCTCCCCCAAGTCGGCTGTCTCCATTTGTAACTGATACTACATACAGCAGGGAAGCATCTGTGTTTCAGAAAAATGATGTGTGAAAACAGTTTTCAAAAATGCACGCTTTCTACATTAAAAAAAACTAAAAATATGTTTGGTTACCACTTTGCAGAGCCTATTGAATTTGGCTGTGAATGGGAATCTAATTGCCATCCGTTCCTATTGGAGCCTTCTACGAACATGACATTTCCATTAAAAAGAGAAGTCGACTATGGCATTATGGTGTGTATGCTGAAATAGTAAAAAAAAAAAAAATCTGAGGACTAGTTGGTCGTTTTATAATTTATATTTCTTCTTTATGGCCCATTAGAGGAAATAAGCAAAGCCACAGGTACAGAAAATAGCATTTGTACTGGTGGAGGAAAAAGGAACATTCTTACTGAAGTGTTACAAAGAGCTCCCTGGTTTTGAAGGATGACTTCTGACTCTTCTCCTGTTTTTCATGTATAACCAGAGAAGATCTCCTTTGTCACCGGCTCTTGATACTGTGGGATTGGCATCAGAACGTTCCCACGTACAGCGCTGAACCTAAGGGCTGAGGGACCCACGGCTTGGGCTGGAGGGACCAGACAAACTGCACTCAGTCGCAGAAATATCTGTCCGCTGCTCCATGCGTGGCAGGAGCACATAGTAGCATATTTTCCTAAACTTGGTAGCCCTATGTCGATGATCGGCACCCCTTCTCCTTCTCTTTTTTTTGGTATTTCTTGTTCGGTGACCCGAAGCCCAGCACCCCGTTTGTTGAGTTGGACAATCTGTTTTTAATGATTTTGTTTTTCCTTTTGGTGCCCACCTGGCCCAGGGAAGGCGCTATTCCAGCAGTGCGGATAATAAGATTTACAGTTAATAAGGTGAAAGCACACAACGATGCCAGATTAATATTTCTCAGGCACTGCTCCAATTAACGTCTTCCCCAATTAATCTACTGTCTCTAACTCCCAGCCTAATTAAATCCAGAGTTCTACCCCTGGACGTCAAGAGTCTTTACTTCACAGCCTCTTCCTGTCTTCTAACATCTTCTTCTACTATTTCCCTAGCTGAACAGTGTAGACCAGCTCCGTGGTTCTCATTCCTGGCTGCACATCAAAATTACTGGGGGGGGGGGGGCAGGGCTTTAAACAACAACAACAACAACAACAACAAAAAAAACCTACTGATGCCCAGGGCCCCCACTGCATGCTAATTGAATATGAATCTGGGGGTGAAGGACAGGCATCAATTTGGTTTTTCTGGTTTTTGGAGTTTTTAAAAGCTCCTTATTTTGGTCGTCTAGTGCTATAAAACAAACCACCCAAGACTAATTTGTATAAAACAGAGACCTTTTTAGTTTGCTCCCAACTCTGGGAGTCCAGAATTCAGAAGGAACACAGCACTGATGGTGGGTCTCTGCTCTACGATGTTGGGGTCTTGGCTAAAAAAAAAAAAAAAAAATCACAAATGGCTAGGCATGTCTCAGGTAGCTAGGTGCTGGAATCATCTAGAGGCTTCTTTGTTCACTTCTTTGCAGCTTGGACTGGGATGCCTCAAAGGCCGGGCTCCGCCGTACTGTTAGCCAGCGCCTCCGCACGCTTCCCCAGAGAGCCTCCCCTGAGCATCTTGGCTCCACGTAGTCAGCTTGCCCCCGGGAAGCCCACGAGCAAATATTCCCCCCGAAAAAGGTGGAATTGTGGGGCCTTCTCCCTACTTAGCTTTGGGAGGCCACATAGCATCACCTCGGCTGCCTTTTATTCATCAAAGCAGTCAGTCAGGGTCACTCAGGGAGGGGGCCCACTTCTCTGTAGGTAGGAAGCGCGGCCATGAATTTGTGGCCACATCGTAAAGTTGCCACACACCCTTGGGGAGTCCACTGTAGAGCCAGAGGTGACAACACCTGGATCCATGTCTCGCACACCCTGACCTGCAGGGCAGGGCTGGGACCTGGCGCGACATTGAAAAGGGAAGCCACTCTCGGGATCATGCTAGCGCAGGGGAGCATCTCCCTATGATTTCGTGCCCAAGGTGCTTTCCTGGCCTCATCCTGGTCCTGGCCCTGCCCAAGGGCACGTGTGTATGAGTCGTGGGTGGGGCAGGACTTTGATCCCCAAGTCTCAGACTTTGATATTCTAGTTCAATAAGCCTGGAGTAGGGACTGGGATGCTGCATATTTTCAAAGAATTCCGGTGGACTGATTGCAGATTCCGTGCGTGCGGTTTCCCGGTATCACGCCTTTGCTCAGGCTGTTCCCCCTACCTGGACCTTCTTCTCCTTCCATTTCTTTTTTTTCTTCTCTCCTTCCATTTCTATCAAGTACCGAATATCTAGCAACGTTTACCATCGATTTCAAATACTGCCCCTTTTATCAAGCAAAGGTCCCAACAGCCAGAGTATCAAACTGCGCCCCCTAAGAGACCCGGAACACTTTATATGCCTTAGCGCTCACATTTTGTTCCATCCTGTTTGTGGACATACCTTCTAGAAAGAGCATATTCCCTTCCTTTTTAAAAATGTTAAAAAAGATTTTATTTATTCATGAGAGGCAGAGACACACGCAGAGGGAGAAGCAGGCTCCATGCAGGGAGCCCCAGCCCGGGACCCCAAGACCACGCCCTGGGCCCAAGGCAGACGCTCAGCCACGGAGCCCCCCAGGGATCCCAATATAGTCCCTGCCTTAGGAGGCCACAGTGGAGGTGCGGGCCCGCCCCATCGACTCTGGTAAGTGCCTTAGGGTAGGACAAAGGGCTATTCTCGGAGTCATCTTCTCAGGCTGCTCAACTCCTAACCCAACAAGCCCGGTGTGCGCCTTGCACATCTCGATGCCCAAGGAGCAGGGGACAGCTCTCCTGCTGGAAGGCGACAGTCTCATTTCCTGCGGCCTTGCCAGACGCCCCCAAATGCCGAACAATGACCCTCGTCTAAATGCTTATGCAGAGACAGGACTTGCATCCTTCCGTGTGACGTCTACTCTGGGCATCGTCTTGCTTGAACTTTCCCCAGATCCTCCCCGCCTCTCCGCGGGGTCCGCAGCACCCGCTCCCGTTGGGGGTGCAGGCCCACGTGGAGGCCTCAGGGGCCTCTCGGGGACCACCATCCTTGTCACCATTTTACCGATGAAGAAAGCCAGGGCTTGAAGATCCACCGACTTCCCAGGTCACAAGGTCGCGGAGCAACTGAGGCCTCGGAGATTCCAAACCTGACTGATGTGACCCCCAGGCCGATCCGCACCCGCGTCGCCCCAGTTGTGCGGCCCTTGAGCCCACCCGCCCGTGCGGGGGAGGGGCAGACAGGTCCCGACCCTGGTTGAAACCTCTGGGACCGCGGCTCCCCCCGCGGCACAGGCTCGGGGCGCCCTCCCAGTGCGCTCGGGGCCCCAGGGGCGCACCCCGCTTCTACGTGGCCTGGAGGGGGCGGCCCAGGGGGGAGGAAGGGGGAGGGGGGAGGGAAAGGGGGAGGGGGCGGCGCGCCGGGCCGGGGCGCGGGGCGGGGGGTGCGGCGGCGCCGGGCGGGGTCCAGGGGGCCGTGGGGGCGCCGGGCAGGGGCGCGGGGATCGAGGGAGTGGGAGGGGCGCTGGGCAGGGGCGCGGGGGGCGCGCGGGGCGCCAGGCGAGATCTATGGGGTTGGAGGGGAGCTCAGGGCGGGGTCCGCGGGGGGCGCGGGAGTCGTGGGGGCGCCGGGCGGGGGTTGCGGTTGGGGGGCGGCCCGGCGGGGCTCCGGGGAGGGCGCGGGGGTCGCGGGGGCGCCGGGCGGGGTCGAGGGGATCGGAGGGGCGCCTGGCGGGGGCGCGGGGGTCGCGGGGGGCGCCAGGCGGGGGCGCGGGGGGCGCCGGGCGGGGTCGAGGGGGTGGGAGGGGCGCTGGGCAGGGTCGCGGGGGTCGCGGGGCGCCGGGAGGGGGCGCGGGGGTCGCGGGGGTGGGAGGGGCGCTGGGCAGGGTCGCGGGGCGCCTGGCGGGGCCGCGGGGGCGCGGGGCGGGGGCGCGGCGGTGCGGAGCGCGGGGAGGAGCCGGAGCGGGCGCCCGCGGCGGGCGGAGGGGGAGGCGCGAGCGCGGAGGGGAGCGGGGAGCGCGGGGGGGGGGCCGGCACAGTCGCGGCGGAGCGCGGAGCGATCGCCCGCCCGGCAGCCCCGCCGCCCAGCCCCGCCGCCCAGCCCCGCTCCGCCGCCGCCGCCGGGCTCGGGAGGATGGAGGGCTCCCGAGAGACGTCGCCGTCCTCCACCAACTCCTCGGACGAGCTCAGCTCAGCCCTGCAGCTGTCCAAGGGCATGTCCATCTTCCTCGACGTGAGTACGGGCGGCGCAGTGGGGTCGGGGGCCGCCGCGCTCCCCGGGGGGTCCCCTCGCGGTCCTCGGGGCCCCCCCGCGCTCCCCTCTCCACGGGGCGCCCCCTGCGCTCCCCTCTCCCCGCGCCCCCCCTGCGCTCCCCTCTCCCCGCGCCCCCTGCGCTCCCCTCTCCCCGCGCCCCCCCCCCCCCCGCGCTCCTCTCTCCCCGGGGCCCCCCTGCGCTCTCCTCTCCCCGGGCCCCCCGCGCTCCCCTCTCCCGGGGGCGCCCCCTGCGCTCCCCGGGCCCCCCCGCGTTCCCCTCTCCCCGCGCCCCCCCCTGCGCTCCCCTCTCCCCGGGGCGCCCCCTGCGCTCCCCTCTCCCCGCCCCCCCCCACCCCCCGATGCCCGCGCCGCTGCGGGGGACCGCCTGCCGCTCAGCCGCCGGGATCCGGGGTCCGGCACCTGCGGCTCCGGGCGGGGCGGCCCCGGGAGACCCGCCGAACTCGGCTTCTGGGGCGTCGTGGCCTGGGGGCCGGGTCGTGACCGTGGCCGCCTCCCCCCGGGCGCCGAGCACCCTCAGGGCGCCGACCGACGGACGGACGGGCCGAGGGGTGGAGCTCCCGGGACGCCCCCTTGCTTCTCTTCTCCTCCCCGGTGATCCTCCTCCTGCCTCCCTCCCGTCGCGCCTCCCCGAGACCCCCCAAGTTTCCATGCCTGCTCCTCGGTCCTGCATTCTCACTGCTCTTCCCTTGGGGCTCCCCCCCGCACCCCCTTCGGGATTGAGTCCCTTCATTTTTCTGATAATGCTGATCTTTTTTTTTTTTTTCCTCCTACTTTTCTGCTCCCATGCTGGGGTTTTTACCTTTACAGCAGTTTATATCTCCATTTTGCTTTTCTCCCCTTTTCTGCTGTTTCTGTACTTTATTCCCCCCCCCCCCCCCCCCCCCGCCCCGGGCCGGCCCTTTCCTCCGCTGTGGGAGGAGGGGTTTGCACCCCTGCTGCCTGCGGGCCTCAGCCGCTCCCCGCACACTCCTGCTGTCCCCTGGAGGTAGTTGCTGGCCCTGTGGGCCCAGTTCTGGCCACTTCTCATCTAGGCATGATAGAAAATTGGCACGAGGCGTGGAGGAGTGCCCTGTGCCCTCTCCTCTCCCCTCCCCTGAGATCATTTCTTATTAAAAAATCCAACTGTACGTGAAATTAAAATACATTCATTTGTGGAGAGATGAAAATGTGAGGAAGTCCATTTACTAGTATCATCGTGGGGAAGCAGATGTCATGAAGATAAGAGGGATGGGGTGAGGAGCCCTCCCAAGTTTATTTTGAACGGATTAGCTCAGCTTTTTTCTTTTTTTTTTTTAAGATTTTATTTATTTATTCATGAGACACACACAGAGAGAGAGAGGCAGAGACACAGGCAGAGGGAGAAGCAGGCTCCATGGGGGGAGCCCAATGTGGGACTGGATCCTGGGTCTCCAGGGTCAGGCCCCGGGCAGAAGGCAGACGCTCAACCACCGAGCCACCCGGGCTGCCCTAGCTGGGTTTTTTTAAATTGGGATAGAAAACCGTATTAATAAGAAGATCTGGTCTAAGGCACATGTGTCTCCTGGCAGCGTCCTCCCCTCCTCACCGCGCTGTTCCAGTTGGGGATCCAGGCGTTCTCCGGCTGGCCCTCTTCCCACCCAGTCTGATTCCCATTCCTTCTCTCAGTAGGAGTGAGTACCTTATTTTTCCTGAGCACTTCTCTCTGCTTGGTTCTGGTCAATCAGATGGTGTTTTGGTGCTGGTGGTTTGACTGGCTATGCTGTTATTTCTTTTAAATCCTGCTGTTCAGGGCCAAAAAGCCCTTGAGGAAATGGAGCTGGGGGAAGGAGGAGCTGGGGGAACATAGCACACGTGAGAAAGGAATCTGCAGCCAGTAGCATCAGGGTCCCAGAAAGTCACGTCTGTTATGAGGTCAGTGGCTAAGCTGCCCTGAAATTGGTTCAGAGACGGCAAGAGGCCCCTCCATTGATTCTGGCCTGGTCTTCGCTCTGTCCCCCAAGGATATCAAGTGCTTCTCTGTGACTTTCCCAAAGCAGTTAACAAATCCTGGTGATACCGTAGAGATGAATGGACGGAGCTGTATAAATGAAGGTCCGCCTCCTCCACACCCATGCTAATGTAGCCCAGCTGTTCAAACTGCTGTTAAAAAAGAAAAGAGGAAATTAAAATCTTACTTATTATTGTATAGACACGATTGTTCTGAAGCTCTGTCAGTAAACAGCATCAGGTCCCTGTCCTGAAGGAACACGTACTCTATGAATAGGATACCCTCGCCTTCTTCTAGTTCTAGAATTTAAAAATAAAAATACAAAACCGATTTCACATGAGAAGTGTTGACATGCTTGTTCGCCAGTAAATTCTAGTGTCTACAGAAAAAAAAACCAAAACGTGCCACTGGATTTTATCTCAAATAGAAAAGATTTTGTTTATACTTTTCTTTGAGATATTTTGTGAAAAATCTAGCACTCTGGTGAAATTTGTGACACGAAAGAGGATTTGTTACTTGGGGATTTTTGCATTATTCATTTCTGGATCATACTGCTTTTAGCAAAAATAAAATGTGATATATAAATACATAATTTATTTGATCTGTTTTAATATATTCTAGTAGCACTGCTAAAAATGATTGCTTTTTGAATTCTATTCAGATCATAGCAAGTAGGTCATAGGTAACCCCTTTTTCAAAGAGGTACAGGGATGAAACCCAGACTAATTTCCAAATTTGAGGAAAACTTCGATTTCCAGTGTGTATATTCCAATGTCACTGTAGTAATCAGTCCTCTGAGAAATGATTGGAACCGGTCTTGAAGATGCCGTTGATGACATGACTGGGCATGTCCAGCTGGGAAGACACTAGCCATAGATCAGAAAATCAGAAAGAGATTGACCCTAACTATTGGCTTCTGCTCCATTTGCCAATATGTCCAAATCAGGAGGTTGTATTAAGTGAGAGTTCATAGGGTATGAAAACTGAGAAGAAAAAGCCAACGTGCGTGTAAGTGTGCTCTGTGGGTTGCTACATCTCTGTCCCCTACCCAGTGCCGACATCACAGTAGCCAAATCCACAAGTCAATACAGACACTGTCCCATTAGGAGTGTGATTTATATTCTTTTCTATCTAAAAAAAATGACAGGATTGCTTAGCAGTTCATCTTGAATATTCTCGAATGCCCACTGGGGGGCTTAGGAGACCCAGGGCGGGCCCCAGGGCTTGCACAGCACTGGGCCCACTGCCGCCCGTGGGAGGGGGACTGCACTGCGTGTCGTGTCGTGTGCAGCAACGTGGAAGGACCAGGAGGGTGGCGGTTCTTTTCTTTCTTGCCACCTGTATACTGTCTTGGCAGGTTATTTCTTTCCAGATACCAGAATAAAGTCTGTAATTTAGAGTACTAGTCTGTAGAGCGTGTGGTCCCTCTTTTGGGTCTTTACGTTGATCAGCTCTGCTGCTGTGCAAAGGAGAAAAACCAACCTTCCGTCAGCCCCCGAGGCATGATACACGTGCAGTGAATTAGGTACCACTTCACCACGTGGTGCCACCGTCTTCTCCCAAACAGTTTTGCTTTGTAGCTGGAAGGGAAGTGGCCCCTTCCTCATTTTAGTAGAGGCAGACGCAGGGCCTGGAAGGTTCTGGAGGGGAGAGAGGTGACTTTACTCTTGCTTTTCCCTCCCTTCCCCCAACCCGTCATGCATACCCGTGAACACCGAACACCATGCACGATGCCTGGGCGCTCAGGGACTTGGTGACAACGAGTCACAGTTCTGCTTTGCCAACGATACTGCATTGCAAAGTCCCCTGCGCAGCTCTGCATCCTCACCTGTGCAGGAGGTGAGCCGGACAGAGGGCTTCGACATTGTTCAGTCGGGAGGATGGCAGTTAACCCCCTCGCTTGTCTACCCTGAGTGGCCAGACAGACAGCACTCCCCTGGGTTTCAAAAACTGCAGAAATAAGAGAAACTCAGCTTTAATGTTAGCATGATTTATTTATTTATTTATTTATTTATTTATTTATTTATTTATTTATTTAATCTATTTTTTATTGGTGTTCAATTTGCCAACATATAGAATAATTCCCAGCGCTCATCCCATCAAGCACCCCCCCTCAGTGCCCGTCACCCAGTCACCCCCACCCCCCGCCCACCTCCCTTTCCACCACCCCTAGTTCGTTTCCCAGAGTTAGGAGTCTTACATCAGCCCTATTCCAGGCAAGAGTGAGAAGATAAAAATGTTCGTTCTGGTTTACCCTCCCTCCAGGCCTCCTTACTGCTCCCCCCCCCACCCTGCAGCCCATCTCCAGGCAACCGGTGGAGCAGACCCCCCTCCCCCCGGGGCCCAGGCCGCACCCCCTGGTCTGCCCAGCGGGCCTTCCCTTCTGGGTGCGACTCGGTGATCTGAGGAGCGCCAGCTGCCTTGGCCTCTCTCCTGGCCTCTCGGAGGCCATCTCAGCTCATTACTTAATTTTAACCAGGTACAGGGTAGGAAGCACTTAGCAAACATTAGTTCAATAGTGACTGTCCGATTTTTAGGCCTCGGTGATAGCATTTGCATTTTTAACAGCCGCCTTGGATGACTTCAGGTGCAAAATGAGGAATTTCAATGAAGGCCACCAGAGAGTCGCTTTGGGGGGTAAGGGGTGCTGCTGGATCATTCTTAAGTTGTTGCAGAAACAGCATAACCTGTGCGTTCTGGCCATGCTATCCGTGTCCATTTACTCTCCATCCTGTGGTCTTAACGTGTAGGATTAGGCAATCCGGAGGGCTGTGGAGGCCTAACGTTATGAACTCAGTCCGCACCTGCAGGACCTGTTTTATTAGTCTGTGGGCTCAGAGGCAAAATTTGCAGCAGAGCCAGTTCTGTTCATATTTAATTACAAAGAACTGTCTTAATAAAGAAAGTTACTGTCTTAATTTCGTCACTAAGGGGCTGAATGTTGTTTAAGACAGTTCTTTATGAAATGATGGAAGCCAGGGGTCCGAGTCTCTGGTGTGTGGTTATTCCTATTCTAGTTACTCATAAGGACACACTAGCTCTTGAAATAGAATCTGAGGGTACATTAAAGGTAAGACTCAGGCTGTGTCTCATGTCTCCCTGACTCTCTGCTGGGGCTTCACAGTTTCAGAGGAGAGGAGGACACTGGTCCTGGTGGAGAGACGGAGTCCCAAAATCCCCACTAGAAATTACCTCTGTGGAGTAAAAAAGGATTTGTGTCTCATTCGGCCTTAAGCATAGAAGCTCTTACAGCTGAGAGCAGTTTTCTTGCAATAATGGAATAAATTAGTTGATAAAGGGGACCAACTTCTTAGGCACACAAGTCGGGATGATGCATATCTGTTGTCGGAAATTTTTCCTAGGTGAGCTTTTTAGTAATATTAGTACCTGATAATAAGCGCATTGTAATGATGTTTAGATTTAACCATCCTTCATCTTCGTGAAGTCAACAGAAGGAAAGGGGGTAATGTTTATATAGTAGAAAGCAGTAGAGCTTTGGTAGTGAGAACTATCGCTCACGTTTCAAGCTGCCCACCAAGAAGCGATGACCTAAATTTAAGAGTAGCTGTGGTTACTTAACGTATACGGCTCAGAAAAAAATGATCCTCAAGTGCCCCTTTCATGTGATTCAAGGTTATCTTTGCAGTATGATAAAGGGACATTTTCCTTGGTGCTATATATAACATAGCTGTGTGTTATATTCTCCAGATTTTTTTTTCCCCTGTCAGTATATGGTTATCAGCTGGGGCTAATTTGATTGTCGCTAACAGAAAAAATAATAAACTATCTTAAGATTTAAAACAATTTATGGGCTTCTGTAATGAAAAGTGGAGATCGTCTGGTCAGGGTGTCTTGATCAGAAGCTCAGAGAGTGTCATCAGGATCTACTTTCTTTGGTCTCTGGTTGGACGCTGCTTTCTTGAGGGCTGGTTATGTCCGGGTCGTATGCTGTATTACTTTCCTGTGGCTGCTGTAACAGTGTACTGCACACAGAGGGGCCTAAACAACCAGATTTGCTCTCTCAGTCCTGGAGGCTAGGGGGTGACGTCAAGGTGCGGGCAAGACGACCTTGCTCCCTCTGAAGGCTGTAGGGGAGAGTCTGCTCGATACCTGTTCCCCTAGTGACTCATGGTGGCCAGTCCTTTACACTCCTTGGCTTGCAGCAGCATCACACCAACATCTGCCTACATTATCATGTGGTCTCCCCTGTCTCTGCATCTCCAAATCTCTCTCTCCTTATAAAGTCACCGGTCTTGGGGTATAGGGCCTACCCCCAGTCCAGTAAGATTGTATCTTAATTTGATTACATCTCCAAAGACTACTTTCAGACAAGGTCACCTTCACGGTTACTGGGTGTTAGGACTTCCACATTTGTTTTGAGGCAACACAGTTCAACCCATGATATATACAACCGAGGAAGGGTAGACAGCAGCTTCTTACCCGTATCTTCCCAGGTTCCAAGTCAGCAGAAGAAGGTGTGTCTCTCTCTGTGCTCCAGCCTGAGTAATCACTGTGGCTGGAGTGATGGGACACCCTGCTTGCCAGGCCTGAGTGCTCTTCCCAATCCTCGAGCTCATGGGCCCAGAGCAGGAAAAAGACTGGTTGCCCAAAAGAAAATTTTGAAATCCCAAAGATACCTGACTTGATAGCCAAGCAGCTCTTATCCACCAAAGATAATAAAATTAATGCATAGACCTAACGTAAGATATAATGTGGACACGTGAGCTCTATGCATCCATAATCTATTACTTTTTTGTTTCGATTTATTCCCATTTTATTGAGGAATGATTGATGTATATTAAATTGCACATTTTTAAAGTGAAGAGTTGATGGGTTTTTGCATACGTATATCCCCGTGAGGCCATCACCGTAATCAAGATAATAAATACACCTACCACTCCAAAAAGTTGTCTCGTGTCCTTTTCTAATGTGCTCCCTCCTTATTTGTATGCAACGCTTAATCTTCTCTCTGTCACTGTAGATTAGTTTGCATTTTCTAGAATTTTATATAAATGGAATCACGTAGTAGGTACTCTTTTGTGTCTAGGTTTTTACCCAACATCATTACTTAACGATCCATCCAAGTTATTGTGTGAATCAAGAGCTCATTCCTCCTTATTGCTCAGCAGTATTCACCTTATGGATGTGCCACAGATTTTTTTTTTGTCCATTCACTTGTTCAAAGACATGTGGGTTGTTTTCAGTTTTCGATTATCCTAAGGAAACCTCTCAACTGGGAAACCTTTATTTAAAATTGGAATTTCTTTCATTTACTAATGGGTGAATTATATGTGAGTGTAATGTTCACTGCAACTGCAAAAATGGTAATAACATTTTTCCTTTTTCTTTTTCAGATACTGAGGAGAGCGGATAAAAATGGTAAGACCAAAAAACTGCTCTTTCTATTTATTGATCTCTTACCATTTAGATCACCCTATAAAGCATAGTATGGAAGAGAGAGGAGAACCCAAGAAACTGATGCATAAAATGTCAGCCTCTGGTACTAATAAGAGTTTTAGGGAAGTTTATGGTTCCGTCTGGATATTCATGAGAAATTGAAAGAGGTACTTATATTTGACAGGAAGATGGAATTTATGCCTTTGAAGTGAGCAGCTGTCATAGCTCTGGCTTTTCCCTTTTATGCTTTAATTTTAAAGTAATAACAGCTTCTATTCATTGAGTGTCTACTGTGTGCCAGGCATTGGGCCAAGTGCTTTGAGTTATTTCTTGGAATTAATAAGATACAGATATGAGACATGAACCCCAGGTCTACGTGGCTCCAAGATCGAGGCTGTCCACGCTGGATTTCATGGTGGCCGTGGGGGCCGCTGCTGCACTGTAACAGGTACCTGGAGGTTAAGTTGGTTACCTGGAAGTGTGCGTTGCCAAACTTACCTTCACCCCATGGCTCTTGGCCATCGCTCTCGTATTTGAATTGTATGCGCTGGGACTGATAATCTACAGAGACAGAGAAATCAGAGAAACTAGAAGAAAAAAAAAAAGTCCTGTCAGTGGAACTACAATTTAAATGATGCCTGCGCCGAGTCCAATTATAAGCTGTCATAAGCAGTATCTTTTGACTCTTATCCCACTACAAGTTTTGTTCCATAGAATACCAAATCAGAGCTTATTGAGTTTATTTTGCTGCTGTAGTACGAGTACATAATAGAGCCATATTCTTGACAAGACTTTCTTGACAAATTTAGGGTACCAAGAGTCCTTTCCTTTTCTTGAAATCGGATTTCTTATCTGTGGGGTGGGATTACTGGCAAAGTCCAGATCTGACACTTTAAAAACCTTTGTTTGTGCTCTAGTTAGCCCTTAAGCCGCCAGATCGAGAAAAGCTTGAGTGGCGCTATCTAGCTTTTCCCGCAGCAGAAAATATCTTAATCCAAGGAGCATTAAAACGCTGTCCCCGATCCTGATAATACTTAACTGTGCCTGCCCCTCAGAATGTTTGCTCAGACTATGTTGCAGGGGTTAATATATTATCGATTCAGGGTTTTTTTTTTTTCTTGTTTCACCTGAATCACTTGATTAATTTTTAAGACAGATGTAATGATGCAGTCATCCTGTCTTCTCATCTCCCTTGCGGGCCCTGTGCCTGCCATCCAAAGTCAGTGATGTCTGAAACACAGCTGAATAGTCCATATGGCTCCATGCTACCTGCCTCGTACTTCAGCAGCCATTTCTACTTCAGAGTTGCCTTTTCTCTCCCTCTACCCAGGCCCCACCTTCCTTTCTCTGGACCCCACGGTCCAACTGAGGCTTATCCATACCTTTGTACATAGCACTCTTCTCTCCATCAAAACTTACCTCTTCTGGTGGCCTACGATGATAATCCATAGTCACAGTAAAATTGGAATTTCTTTCCAATGAAAACCCAATTCATGATTTACTGGAGTTGATGAGAACCTCATATGTTTTGCTATGAAGAATGGTCCCTTGGTGGGGGAGCCTTGTGTGGTCCTGGTTTTATTTTTTGTTTGTTTGTTTTTTTACCTGCCTCCTTCCTTCCCACATAGGATACCTCTCGCCTCCTTGCTCCCTGTCCTAATGCTGAGCCCAGTGTGCTGTCAAAGCTACCTGCCTTTCTGCTCCTACTCTCATGGTCTTCACCATGCATCCTCTTCTGCCGCTCTCTCGGAAGCACCAGGGCTTCTCCAAGCATCATTCCACCTGTCACACTTCTGTGGTGTCCTTGCTTGGACTTACACCTGCGACCCCCCTTTTTACTCTTAGCCACCGCAAGAGTGTATTGTATTGTGTATTGCTTGTATTGGGGTCAGAAGGCACCTTGTCTGAAAAGCCTTCCCCCTTGGGATGTCCCCCCCATCTGTGCTCTCTGCACTTTGATTTATGCTAATTATTCCCTTTTGTGAGGACTGTAGTTGTTCGCCAGTGACTCTATTTTCTTAAGCCAAACGTGCCTGTCTCGGACAAGAAACTTGTCTATTAACAGGCACTCTGCTCAGCCAGTACGGGGTGCTCAGTGCATGTTCACTTAGCGAATTAACAATGATTAATGACACTCTCCTCCATTACCCATCTCCCTTCTATCACCTCTTTCCCTTTCCTTCCATTCTGCTTTCCTCTTCTCCCCCATTCCCGGTGCAAAGTGGGGGAAGGGCAGAAATAAGTAGGTGCACCTAGCAGCTCTGTGGCTTTGGGTAAGTAACAAACCTCACCCTCAGCTCTCTCACCTACAGACTAGAGATAATAGCATCTGTCTATGTCATGGGGTTATTATGAATAATAAATGATGTGACATATGTAAAATCCCCCAGGGAAGTGCATGGTACATAGTAGCAGGTTACACCTGCTTGTTTTGCTGATATTTTTATGATCAATATGATCAGTATCACTACTTAAAGCTTAAGCTGTTTTTGGGGTTGTGATGCCTTGACTATTGGAGACATTTGGTGACATTCCAGTTGTTTCTATTTCAGTGGAGTTTAGTAGGGGAGAAAAGACTATTTAGCATACACGCGGGATTGAAAAAAGGAAAAAAGGATAGTGGATAATCGAACAAAATGAGAAAATATCAGCATTAAAAAAATCCATCTTTCTGAACCATGTGTTCATTCCATTTTGTATTTGCCAATAAGCAGCTGCTACATGTACATGATCTCTGGGTAACAGACCCTCATAAGACAAAATCGCATATGGACCGCACAATTGGTGATAGAATAATGATGGGAATAAGAGGTGGTAAGCAGCATGACACTTAGCTTACCAGAGTACAGAGTTAGCTTCTGGGATCTATTTGACATGAGAGAAGCTGCTGGAGAAATGGGTGGGGGAAAAATACATGAGAGCAATTAACTGTCATACTTGTGTCTCGGAGAGATTCATTTGTTGTTTTAAAGTCATAGGCTGGGATCCTAGACATCAAGACAGACCTCGAAGTAGAATAGATTAGGGATGTGAGTGTTTTGATCTAAAGAGCCCAGAATCAAACCTAAAAATGCAGAAGCTCTTGAGAAATCTTACGTATATGCAGGTTGAATGAAAAGGGACATGGCACATGGGAATTCGTAAAATTTGCAAAAAAAAAAAAATTAACCTTAGAAAAAGGCAAAATCAAAAGGCTCACAGTAAATAACACTGTAGATTGTTTTTGCTGACGTGCGCTTCCTAGGATCTCCCATTCTTGACTAGTAAAGAGGTAGACTGCAAGGGGGGCTCTTTTAATCCCGATGAGTTGACTGATCCCTCAAAGAGATGGTCATAGTTCTCCTCATTGGCCTTTGACCTATTCCAGCATCCTGTGCGTTATACATCTGTGAGGACGGACAATGTACCTATTTCACACGGCACCAGGGCCACAGTAGTCAGCCTGTCACAACATTCGTGCTCAATAATAAATACTTGCACATCTGTTGGTAGGAGGTGCATAACCAACAGTCTGATACTAAAAACTGAAGAAGGAGCATAATCTTCTAGATTAGTGCATCAAACTAAGCATTGATGTTATTTATCTGTTGTTTATTGGTTAACAGTATTAGCTAAAACCCTAAAGGTTCCACCAACAACAGTGTTAGAACTAATGAATGAATTCAGTAAAGTTGTAGTGTGCCAAGGCAATATACAAAAATCTGTTGCATTTTTGCAGACTGACAAGGAACTATCAGAAAGAGAAATTAGGAAAACAATCCCACTTACAGGTGCATCGGAAAGAATGAAATACCTAGAAATACGTTCCGCCAACGTGGTAGAAGCCTTGTGCAGATGTACATTGATGGACATTTTAATTGTACATTTTAATGTACAACTTAATTGTACATTAATGAAAGACATTAATGAGAGAAATTGAAGAAGACACAAATAAAAGGAACGATACTCTGGGCTAATGACTGAGAAGATTTACTATTGTTAAAATGTTTATATTACCCAAAGCAATCTAGAGACTCCGTGTATTCCCTTGCAGAATTTTGGTGGCATTTTTCAGAAATAGAAAAAAAAAATATTGGGCAGCTCGGGTGGCTCAGCGGTTTAGTGCAGCCTTTAGCCCAGGGCGTGATCCTGGAGTCCCCGGATCGAGTCCCACGTCGGGCTCCCTGCATGGAGCCTGCTTCTCCCTCTGCCTGTGTCTCTGCCTCTCTCTCTCTCTGTGTGTCTCTCATGAATAAATAAATAAAATCTTAAAAAAAAAAAAAGAAAAAGTCTTAAAATCGGAACAGAACTATATCTGGCATTCAAAACACTAATACAGGGGCACCTGGGTAGCTCAGTTGGTTAAGTGTCTGAAACTTGATTCGGGCTCAGGTCATGATCTCAGGGTTGTGAGATTTGAGCTCCACTTTGGGCTCCGTGCCTGGCGCAAAGTCTGCTTGGGATTCTGTCTCTCCTCTCCCTCTGCCCTCCCCCAACTCTCTCTGTCTCTCTCTCTCCCCCAAATAAATAAATAAGATCTTTAAAAAAAATAAAAAATAAAACTAACACTAATATAAGAAAAGTTGATGTTGAGTTTGTGTTTGGGAATGTTTTGAAGACTTCATTGGATCATTATATAACCAATGTTAATAGATTAAGTGAGAGTGCTTGGTAAGAGCCGCTCAACGTGGTTGCCCAGGGTTTGGTTTATTCAGTTGACGTGTACGAATGTGACGCCAGGTGGAGGGTGGAACCAGGTTCCGGAAGTGGGAGCGTTTTCCTTGAAGGCAGGGAGACTTTCAGAGTCCACCCAGAGGCCTGTGATTCTCTCTTTCCTGCATCTTGATAACAAGGCTGTGCTCTGATGTCAGCTACTTGGTCAAGCATCACCTCTGTGGTCGCCCTGAGCTTTTAATCAGGGATCCTGGCCCCAAGTAAGGATGAAGAGATTAAAAAAACGGGGCTCGGAAATCAGAATTATTGGCATAAGGCGGCGGATTTTT